GCATACAAGTATATGTAGCCCTATCCTCGTACCAACAAAAGACAACTCTAGTCTGACCTATAGCGCTCTTCTTCAGGAAGAAATTTTACGCTAAGTGACATGACCTCAAACCGACTTCCGATCTTTCTTCGACCAATAGCTCCTGGAATTCTAGAAAAAAATATCCTGAAATTCTAGAAAAAAAACTGCGACTAAATCTCCATGTATAGGCAATAGTTTGTAGATAACAAAGGTGTATGTTTAGATGAGCAAGCACTTCATATAAAAAAGAAAAAAAATTAAAATTGAAAAATACCCAAAGTGATTCACTAATTATGGGACAACCTAATAGTTCATTCTTGATCAATAATATCCGCCATTCCTGTGCTCGCTAACTTAACTTTATTGCATGCTACTCGCATGTACAGCAACGAGACTGAAGAAATCAAAACAAAAAAAACTCAAGGACATAGGCGATTAAAAGCTATTCTGGATCTTTTCTAACTTAATGGGAAGGGCTTTACTATTAGGGAAATAAACGCAAATACCGTAATCCAGAACAGAACCTACGTAAATTTTTTACGCTCTCAGCTAGTCCGCTAAAATTTTTTAGCAGTGTTTATATTTAATTGTTATCTGTCTGAGAGTCATGCTTTCATAGGTGATCGATTATTTACAAAATTTAGAGGTGACATCGGCTTCAACTTCGGACGCGTACTCTGCCAACAGTGAGCCGCAAGCAGCTATCGGGATCGCAACGGCAATTAATAGCAAAGTGGGCATTTTTGAAATTTTGTGCTACCTCTCCTTAATGAGGCGTTGCTTGGAAAGCAGCCGGTCTTGTTTCAGAATGGCGTTACCGACGTCGAAGCGAAGGAGATGGAGAGCTGGCTGGCAGCACAAGGTGAGACCTCAACTTTGAAGAGCCCAAAGCAGGAGGAGTAAAGTAAAAAAAATCTAAAGCCACAGTGCTAGCTAGATACGAGAGGATTTATGAAAATGCTGAAAGCCATGGAAGAAATTGTGAGAAAAAGCAATGACATTTATTTCGTCGACGAATGTAGTCATTTTTTCGCTTGCTTATTTCTACTGGCTTTTGAAAGTTTTGCATCCAATCCTTGCACTGCAAACAGTTTTTTTTTCCATTCCGCTTTCCGATTTTCGCTCTTTATAATTCTTGACCTTTCGTTCATTCACAACAAATCTGTAGTAAATTCCTACAATGATTTCTCGATCATAGTAGTTTTGCATTGTAAATCAGGTTAGAGAGGACAGTTACTATGCTCTTGTCGTTCATGCTCCATGGTACGGTTTCAAATGAATGCAATTGTGAAACTTCCAATGCATTGAGCATCATAGGACCTTCTCATGTGTAAACCCATCCTCCCTTTCAAAAAACAAGAAGAGCGTCGGTGCAGACCATACACCACAAGTGACGACGGCCTACAAAATGTAAATGTTTTCTGCCAATGAAATGATTAGCCTGTTGCAGTTGTATTCTATCAGTTGTCACTAATTACAACTATCATTTACCAAAATCAGCTATCACTATGAACCACTACTAACCAGATTTACTTGGAGGCCGTCGTCACTTGTGGTGTATGGTCTGCACCCGACGCTCTTCTCGTTTTTGAAAGGAAGGCACTTGCCATCCCCACTGTATTACTGTTACTGTTCGATTCCAGAGAAGCCTGCAACTACTCCAAAGAAAACCGATGACGACAAATTGTAGACGCTTAAATGCCTTGCAACGCAGCAGCAAGTATGTAATTTCGCCAAGTGCCCAAAAAATTCCGTGTATATAAAATCAATCACCTGTGCTTAATTTCGTGATATCGTGTGGGTCTCTCCTCTATCATCTTCTCTACACTTATTTTGATTGTTTTTCTTTTCATTTCGTCATTTTTTTCCGTTTGTTGTTCGTTTTACGCGTCTATTGCACAACCGCTGTCAATTGCTAGTCTTGCTATTATGCCCAGATTGTCTATTTTTTTGTCAAACACACACGCACATGAACTACAACATAAATGTTTACTGGTAATGCTTAACACAAGAAATCTTCATTGAGATTAAAAAAAAGCAGAGAAAGAAGTGAAATTGGCAATCAGATTAGCCAAAAAAATGAAGAAAAAAAGGCGAAAACGAGCTTCTCATGCATTTCATAGTGAACGCGTGTATAGCAATTTATCAGGCAAAAATGATCAAAAACACATCGGTGACGGCACCGAAAACAAACACCGTAATCATCTTAACTCATTCCTAAGTGGAAATGTCTAGTCAAACGAGCTCCTCTGCCGACAGTAGCTTGAGCCGCCGGAATTTCATAATCCCCGTTATTATAAGTAGAGAATGAGAGTTATCAGGAAAAGGACACGTTTAACTTGACATCCTATGCAGAAGGAAAAGTGATTGTAGAGCGGTTACGAATCGTGCGGTTTCTACCAGTCTTTCGAGATCTCCGTGGTCCATGACCATGTCAACCAGTCGTGGCCGTCATCATCGGTCATCTGCGACTTCACCTTATACTTTCCACGGTGAAGCATGCCTAAAAGTCACGGTAAACGTGCTGGTACAATACTTTGGAGCCCATGCAGGTTTTGCATTTTGCGGCCATGTGGATGTGGAGGGTGTACTCACGCTGAGTGGGCAAGGGAATCCTTGACACCGCTCTTTGGAAAGAAAACAAGAAAACTCAACGCGCATGCTTGAAAGCGGACGGCACCGAAAACCACGCCCACATAATTAGCGTGTGGGCGGGGTTTGTGCCGTCCACTTTCATGCAGTAATTTCCTTTTATATGAGGTATGTAGTCGAACTCAGTAGTGCGAGGTCAATCGCTGAGGGAGTAAAACCAGAATTCTTCAAAATGACCCACAACGCCGGGGCTTCGTGAATCTACACATACCAGAAGGAGCTTCCTCGACGGGTGTGGTATAGCTTTGAAGTTCCTTTTTTGGAGCATACGATCCAACCATGAAGTTCTCCTTCAAAACTTGCACTCCATGGCGGCTCACTTTATGCACATATCTGTAAGAGAGTACAATAACGTACCGGGAAACATTGACGTAATCGGGCTACCGAAATATGAGTAATCCAATCGAAGACATCTAGGAATAATCGAGCTTGGTCTTAGAAAACCGAGAGTGAAGCTACTTTTCCAACTATTCCTCAAACTAAAGTAAAGTCCTCAATAAAGTGCCTACCAGATACATAGCGTTCCAATGAGGCAGTATGCAGCATTTCCACGATTAGAAAAGGGTATTCAACTCAGGAATAAGGAATAGTGGAGGCATCCCCAGCCAGGGTCGCAGATAGTTGGGCACCATCCCTCACCGAGACGTGCTCTATATGGCCCCTCTTGATAAACCAGTTCTCACACGGTTCACTGCTGGGAAGGATGGATAAGGGATCGGATATAATGGTAGGAAAGGTTAGGGGGTCTTTCAGTGCTCCAGTAATTCACGGGCACGATATACCAGGCCCATTTCAAGCTCATAACGAATCTCAGCTACTGCGAACTGCAAGCAGACACACATGGAAGCGGAATGGGAGTCCAAAAACAGGGAGATAGGTAAGAAGTCCCAGTTGAAAGGTGACTAATGGTGACAGAAAATGGGGAGACAAGAATGGTATAAGAGCTTGCCCTAGCCGACGCAAAGAAATTAAGAAAGAGCGATCGAGAAGGGTGTCGCAAGAGGGTTCCGAAACGAACTTTTTCTGGGTTTATGCTTTAAAGGCAAAGTTCGGAGCTCAGACCCACCTAAGAAGCCCTTACCATGGCTAGAACGCAAGTGCAAAGGTAGCGCCACCTTTCTACATCGAAACGCGTCACTAGGACCCTAGGCGCCATGGACTTCTAACAGACTCCACCAAACTTAACATGGTCCGCCCACCGTTCGATATCTTGTCTGCGTCGACACGTTGCTCGCCTGTCTTTTGAAGTTTTCCACAGCATGAGCAAAATCGTATTTCCTGTGTATTTCAGGATTTTCTTTCCTTTTTTCTCCACTGGCGGTCCACCTCTCATCCCTACTTTCACATTTGAGTGGAATCAACCCATCAACCTAATCCTGATTCTTGCCTTTAAGTAATTCGATTGCGATTCTTTCTGCTACTGCAAGTTCTAGTACCTTCGTTTCATAGCGAGTACATCCACTGATTCCAAAAACTTGCAGGCGCCATAGCAACATACAGGGACATTTTGTCCAAACTGTGCATTCTGGTCATGCTTCCCTACTTGCTGAGACCTGGCTAAAGCTTAAAACTGCTTGTTATTTCAGATTTTGTAACATCTGATCCTTTTGGGCGCTATCCCAGGATACGGGGCATCCTCTAGGACCGAACCCTGGAGAAGGCAGGTACATCGAGAAGTAAAAAAAATTGATCACGCAATCTGGAGCCTCTTCTTCCAAACCTAAAGCTTAGTCCGATTTAGTATGATAGAAAGGAGGTGCGATTTATGTGTGATAGAAAGGAGATGTTATGCGGCTTGTACTGCACCGCCATCCACAATGCCCCCTGCCTTGTAATAGCGCCCTTCTGCCCCCCCCCCCCACTCTCACAAGTCGTGGATCGCATCCCTTCCATTGAACCAGGGTCCCATCCCATGTGGGCCATTGAAGTAAGGGTCATAATTGCGAATAAATGAAGAGATGTGGACACTGGCAGGCCGTGCAAGTTATTCTGGTGCAATATACGCGTACAACTGTCTCTAGCGCTTTGAGCAAATGTTAAACGTAGGGCACATCCCAACAGGTAATTTTTAGACCTCACATCTCGCTTACTCCATAGAAAAAGAAGACAACATTAGTTTCATAAGCATCTACAAGGAAGAACATATCGAAATAGCTAGTGAACGTTATTATGCCTTCTCAAGTACGAGATCATCGCAGAGGTCATTAATTTCAATTTTTTCCAGGAAAATACTGAATACTCATATGCTTGTGGGCTGGGAAAGAACCCGAAAAACCTATAATGCACGAACTCACTTCAAACCAGTTACAATCTCGCGCTGAACATAAAAATCGAACCGAAGTCTGTACTGGCAGCCCTCTTTCAGCCTAAAGGTTGCATCACCCAATGCACCTGAAAAAAGCTTATTTCGGCATCTGTCTGATTTTTCATAGAGGTTTAAAATTTATGTAATTATATCTATAAGTAATGGCAAAGACTTCTATTCCTAAGAAATCAATTGTGCTTAAATGCTGCCAGCGGACATGTATGGTTTTCTCCAAAAATTCAAGAAGTTTCAGAACGGGAACCAACATGGGAAGGAGTTCCAAAAACATCTCAGTTCTTGAAGATAGTCTGTGCTCAGCTATGTAGTAAACTGCCAGGGAACAAAAAAAGAGAAGGAATTAAACATAACACTGAAAAACAGCTTGCTTTCAAAGGGGTGGAGTCAAAGAGTCTACGATACAGTCAATCTAGGCGAACTGAGTGCCGACGTGAGAGAAGGTGTTCAAAGACGAAACAGCATGGGGACATGGGAGGCGCAGACAGCAACGCATTCGGAACTCTGGACGTACTTAGATGCGTGGGGTGTGCCTAAATGCATATAAGAGGCTTTTAGCGCCCCTGCCAAGACTTGTGAGACGCGAAAGTGACAAGCCAGCCACCGAATTCATGGCACGGATTGTCCAATGACTTCAGTCACAAATAGTGCTTCAAATCATACTTAAACAATAAGAAGTGATGGTAATCCCTTCCACAATCGAAGGAGATGAGCGCCGCAGATTGTTTTTATGCATCACTAATGCGTACCATTAGAAGAATGAAATTTGAGCTGGAAGTCAATTTCCAGTAATGCGAGTATCCGTCAGGATTAATGCATAGACGGCTGAGAACCCTGCTCTTTGATGCTTTATGAAAGCTATTCAAATAGTATATTACCACCTGCATTGTCGAGTTCCATTTTGACCTCTTCACGTCCTGGAACCAGCAATGTGATCGACTTCACAATGACAATTTTCGGATTTGAACTATCAACAATGATATCGGTTGGTGACGTGCCAAGTAACGTCGCTTTGTACTTGGCGAGACTTTCATCGTCCTAAAAAGCGTTTCATCCTGAGAACGAAATCCTTTGAAAAACATAAAAAACGAGTAAGGCGAGGTAAATCTATCTTTTGTCCAACACTTTTCGACTGTATTCACGATTTCTGGTATCCGGTTTACTGTAGTATTTCTGCAAGAATTGAAACTTATTCAAATTCAATGAAATTAATGGCAGAGACGCGCACGGCTGCGGTGCATCGCCATTTGATTGATCGATAAGCGAGGTTGGCTATAACGCCATAAAGAACTTCGTTAGCTGCACAAAGCTGTGAAGTTATATTTTAGTCTAGATAATTTTTCGATTCATTACTTAAATTATCGATCACTACGATAAATAATTCACCTGTTTCGTGCCAGACGGTCATTGTGCACTGCATTAATAACTTCAAGAAGGCATAAATCACCATGCCTTCAATAAATGTGACTAAGTTTAAATGTTTTGACACGATGACTTGACAAGCACGAAAGTGGTAACCTACAGAAATGACGATGATAAAGACTTTGAATAGCTTCCTCTTCAAGCAACTCCAACATAGAGACAATGTTTTATAAAGTGTTCTTTGTAACTTATGGTTAGCTAATGGTTGTGAGTAAAAGATGATTCAGCAAAAGACCATCACAAACTAAAGGACAATGGTGTACAATGTTTCGATATACAAGGTGAGCAGTCTGTTATTCCAATTCCAAAAACTTCACGACCCTTCCAGAAGGGACCTCGCTACGACGACTTTCTATATGTAGTATTCGATTCTGGAACCTGAGAGCACTCGACATAGTCCAAACCCCCCACTTTCTTTGGAGGGTCATTATGGTCAAGAAATCGGCCTATGTTCTGATTCTGTCTAACTCCACACTTCTTTCGTGTTTCACCAAAATTGTAAAAACCCGCCGTCGATGTGGCGCCGCTTTTACGGCCTTGTGACCCCAAACTCAAATTACGACCCCAGCTCCTCTGAAAACTCTGCCAACCCACCCCCTCCCCAGCCCCAGTCCACTTGAGAAATGCGCAACGCTTGGTTGACCCTGCTCACAAGTCGGTATTTTTACCTCGCACATGAATGATTTTTAGCCGACCGTGGAGAATGGAAGGTTTGGTCGGTCTGTGAGAGATTCGTGTCGGGACTTGACCAGCGTACTGAACCATTCCGTGCAAGAGCAGCGCCGCTGTCCCGAACACCAGATTCTTACACAGCATAATGCTCGAAACATTGTAACCTCTCATAGGAATGAATTTTCACAATTAATTTCACACCTATTCGGGTTTTTCATTTGTCATATGTTTTTCCATATCCTTTATCTGGTATCAGGACTTCTGTCAACCGTGAGAACTGGCGGTTGAGCAACTATTACAGTATCTCCTCTTTCTTTACCTCCTTCGAAAGGCTTAGTCCCAATAAGACAAAAAGTGTGTGCTTTTCCAGCTACGCTCTCACCCTTTGGTTGACAGAAGCCTTGTAACCTCTTTATCCAACATGAAGTAAACAGTTGCAGCATGAATAGCGGCTCTAGAAAATTACTGCTTCAGCTTGCGCATGGTTGGTGCAGCCACGTAAAAAAATACGATGTAAATCAAAATTGGAACCTTTAAGTAAAAATTGGACTCGATTCACTTATATTCAAAGTTTTGCCCTTTTTCGAGTCAAAAACAAAGGAGAACCACATAGCGGCGATTATCATGAATGATTCTTGTGATTCTTCCATGTTAACATCATATTATATTTCAACTTTTGCAAACTGTAACATTTTTTGTTTATTTAGGATATTGGCAATGGCGGAAACGTCTACGACAATTTAGCACCTCTTTGTTCCGTATGACTTCGATTATTATTTAATTGCCGGGTTTCTCAAATTCAATCTGATTGCAACACCTCCTTTTGAAGGCAAATTCCGCGGTGTTAATGAATAACTGGGCCCGTGATCGCAGAGAATGGCCAGTTCCGCGACTGAAGCCCGTGGGAAGCGCGTCAGGGGCCCACACATCGCAATCATGGACACTACAAGCAACCATGCACGCCCACTGTTGCAGTGCCTGCCGTCTCGCTCCGCTCTGCTCACTTGTCACCTAATTGCGTCTCGGCCTCCACTGTCTCTTCGACTGTTTCTCGCTCTCATTCTTCTCCCTACAAAAAAGAAGAACCTACTTGATGCATTTCAGTGGCTCCCTTTCGTTCTTTGGTTCATTGATAAGCCAAATAGTACTGGCTATTTCAGATGTGAACCCTGTATTTATACCGTTTTTGTGGCAGAATGTGACTTTGAACTCGCGATTTCAGGGCTTCTTCAAAGAACTGCTGTAGTTTTGCAGGTGAGACGCGAGACGAGTAATCTTTGTCACTCTGGTGTTTGTTCATGGCCAAATTCGTAAAGACCCTAAACTTCCGCGTCCTTTGAAATGCACTTTGAGAGTAAACAAGTAAAGTAGGACAAAGAGATACTGAACGGTCTGGCCATTTCTCTGGTGAAGTGTAGTCGTTTCTGGCGCGGCTCGAAAGGGGTGGGAATGAGACTCATAGGTTTTGAGAATTGTAAAAGAAGTGTTCGGATTTGTTTATTGTTCCCAAACAACAAGGAAATCATGAAATTGGAGATTTTTTTCTTACAGGAACTCGGTTTTGTCAATGTTTTGGTGATAAGGGGTATACAGCTCTTCTCCCGCATCCCAATGAATCAAAAATTCGAACTTAGCAACATATGCTTTTAATAAAACAATGGTATTAATCATCACACGTGTGATTGACTTTTTCTAGGCCTTCGCCACATGCACTGCTGGTTCGAAATAAGCGGCATCGTGGTAATGGTCTTGAAAAAATCGATGACAAATGCAATTTTTGAGACTTGACCATATGCCGCGTCTACGTTTTAGATCTGCATTTACGACCTGTCCAAGCACGGGTAACAAAGCGAACATCTGCTGATTGACAAGTCTTTCGGAGGAAGTGAGGTACAATTTGAGGTAGGATGCAATCGGCACTTAGTATGTAGATGAGCCGTGAGACTACGAGGTAAGCAAACCAGCCCTTTTGGCGTTTCTGCTGGGGCCGTATGCTGAATGTTGGGGAGGGATGGGGGGAGGTCGACGGACTACTTGAACTCGGTCGGTACGGTAGGAGAGTGATGACGAAGTGGTGCAGCTAGGTCCAGCAGCTCCGCCAAAAGGGCTGGTTTGCTTACCCCAGGACTAAGCCTTAAGAGTGGCGAGAGAGCGCAGGTCCGTCCTCTCTTTAAGGCTTAGTCCTGAGGTAAGCATCAAATTGAGGCGGTTTTAAGGACCGAGTTGAAGTAGTCCGTCGACCGTCGGGGACCCCATCCCCTCCCCAACATTCAGCATACGGCCCCAGCAGAAACGCCAAAAGGGCTGGTTTGCTTACTTCTGAGACCACAACTGATTAGAGGGGGGGGGGGGTATTAGCTGCCAAACTCCCTTGACACGCGCTTCACCTTGGCCCCGAAAACTAACAATAAGCATGGGTGAGCCGTTTCCGAAATCAAGCAGTAACTGGATGTTGAAAGCATAACGAAGTCATGTGAACAGAAGGAAATAAGGTGACGCCTTCACTCAGCTATGCTATGGAGATGTAGCGCAATTTTGAGACGCCCTTGACCGAAATGTTCCGCTGAGTTGAACAGGGGAAAACCCGTAGCAGAAGGTAATGGGGAACAGGAAATAAACAATTTGGAATTCTGATTGTAAAAAACCAATGAGCAATTTGTATTCAATGGAAATCAGAAGTTTGAAACAGATCCATTCAGCGAATTCGATTGAAAGTGTTCAAGGAAAAGCCTCTGGAGTATTCAACGAAAGTACCAAACAGTACTTGTTAATCTTGTAGCAAGAAAGTGTGCACTTTGGCATATGTGATTTATTCAAAACGGATAAAAGTACCAGTGGGATGAAAAATTTTCAAGAGGAAGCATTCAGGAAAGAGACTCGTTTCACGACTGTAGAACATGGTATTCGAAAATGAAAAAGTTAGCGCTGATGGGTCTACTACTGGAAAGAAAAGCAGCAGAAACCTATTGCTACAGTTTATTGTGAGCACTCTCGAGTATTTATGAAGAAACATTAAGCGCCGAGACAAGAGAGCAGACGTCGAGGAGATGAGAGAGTATAAAGACCAGCGCGTTGCAGACACCGCTCATGACAAATTCGAGACAACGTCACAGGCGAAGGGTGGAGTCATGTAGAACCACCGAGTCTTTGCGCTCCAGCCCAGCAGTTTCATACTGGGAAATTAATAAAATCAGCCTGCTATCCTCGTTCAAGTGTTGGGTTCGAGTATTCATAACAGAATGTTCCTCTAAGGAAGGAATTGTTCACTGGGAAGGCGCTATGTTAAAACGATTATCCCTTGTATAGACGCATGCATGGAAAAAAGATTTATTTCCGCTGAAGGTCTCAGTAGCGCTGAAAATTCGTAAAAGATATGCGATGGTCGATCCCCCACGATGACAAAATTTTGCATTCCAAGTTGGGTGCCAACAAGATAGTGCAAACATGGCCCTGATCATGATACAACAATAATTTTTGGCACTTGACGCTAATCTGGAAGCGTCAAGGGCGAAGACAAAGACAGGAAAAAAGAATACGGGTGTGGTTCGCTAGGACAGAAAGCGACTTTTTCGCGTTTCGCAGCGCGAAACATTTTTCGCTGCGGGAACCTCAGGTCCACTCATGATCAGCGGTGGACCTGAGGTTCCCGCAGCGAAAAGTTTTGCGCTGCGAAAAGAGGAAAAGTCGTTTTCTGTCTAGCGAACTACACGCAAGTTACATAGGTGTTATCTCGATCCTGAAATCAATCCTTTTCACTCAGCCAAGAGTTTGCCCACAGATTTGCAAACTGAGTACTAGGGTTAGACAACGCAAAAGTGAAAACGATGAGAACAATTCCCCTTCAGTCAAGGTCTTGAACAACATTTTACGGATTAAGGAACGAGAAAGAATGGATTGAAGTCGAAAACACCTCCAACAACATCACACCAGCCACCCACGACAATGTGACTTAAGGCTAAGAACTCGCAACCAATCAACCATTACAACCCCAAAATCTCAATTTTATTTGCCATCGAAACGTTGTTCGTAGCTTTTATTAGGAAATATTCGATGCCCTTATTACAAAAACGACATTAATTTTTAGCGCTAATTCTTGGAGTTAAAACAGTTTAGTCATGCTCAAAACCCATCAAAGCAACTTGCCTGATCAGCATTTAAAATTTCCGCCACTGTTTTCTTCTCGGGTGCCTTGTAGTGGAGCTCAGGATCCTCGTCTAGATTCTCTTCCGTATGCTCAGCCATTGCTAAAAAAAACTTTCAAAAACTTCTGGAAAAAAATCAATACGTATCATTGTACAATAGCGAGTCGTAGATAGTGAAACTCGGACGATGGATGCGTAACTGATTACGACAATCGATAGTTCCGAACAAGGTAAGCGCTGACTAACTATTCGGAATACGTATAGCTTGAAATTCGACGAAGAAACCCATTTCCCTCCGACTTCCTACGACACGAAATGGGCGGGACCGGATTCAAGGAAGAAGAAAGAGAATCTTCTGGACGGCTGTGTGTGGGGACTGAGTGCGCGAACAAGTGACATGGTATTTGAGGGACAAACCGCAGAAAACGAGGCCAGGTATTAGCGTCGAGACGGCAAATGATGAGACGAGACGATGGAGTAGCGAGAGGCACATTGACTCGTCATGAAACTCTGACGACGAAAAACTGCGGAAATTAACATTGACGAGGTCGGTAAGTACACGAACGGGCAGACGGACCGACGCGGTTGCACGGGCTTGTTTTGAGGCACGAGTTTTAGACTAGAATATATTTGCGTACTCTCGTGCCAGTGGAAGGGTTTAACGCCGCAAGACGTTCAACAAAATGATGACCTCATTAGTAATGCATAGGGGAGGAGAAATTAGTGGGGCTGGAATGTTGTGCTGGATGACTCAGAGCTGGTATTTCAAGTGCTATCTAGAGCTGTTTTCGGTGCTAACTTAGTTGGGGGGGGGGGGGGGCACGCGGCGGCGCGGCAGTCTGCTCGCCTGGCATGTTCGGAAA